AACTTGTTGCAAGTTTTTCAGGATAGATAATATGGAAACGGGGTGCAAAATGTCAAGTGTTGTAAGTGACCTTTCGTTTGCAAAGAAATTCGATCGAGGTGACTACTCGTCCAGATTCTTTCTCTCTTTCTCTTTCTCTCTTCCTTTCATTAATGTTCTTCGTGAAACTTGTTGCAAGTTTCTTTGAGTAGATACGAAAGAAAAATGAAGAACATCGAATATTATCCGATCTTATCTCAACTATGAAAAATTACATCTTGGATCCGAAGTATTTGTATTTTTTGTTCGAACTTGATCGCTCAACACATCCGTTTCGGGCAGCATTTTATCAAATGAAACGTATACGAGGAGGTATCCACTTCAAAAATTTAGGTCAATCAAGTAGTAGCGATACAGAATTACAGAAACATTTTTTCGATTCGATAAATATACCGTATACCCTGCACTTTAACCTTTTCAACTTTTATTAACGCAAGAATCAGGCAACCAACCCTTACATCAAATTCCAAAATACTCTAAGAAATCCAAATCCATCAAATCCACACAAAATACGAATCTAGAAACAAAAAACTTCTATATCAATTACACAGAGCATGCATTTCATTCAACTTCCGTTCACTTATAACCTCTCCACTTTCTATTCTTCCTTATCAAGTTAATACTTGCACTCTAAACTAAAAAAACACTTAAAACACAAACGCTTTTCCACGAAACTTGAGCGCGAAGCAAGTTTCCTCGAAACAGACATCAAAAGGAAGGCGAAAAAAAAAAAAAAAAAGAGAGAGAAGAAATCTCATTTCTTCATATCTTAACCGAACCGAAGTTATCGCCTGAGGCGTCCAAAAGGAAGCGTGTCGTGACTCGCGAGCGAGTTATTACGCGCACGCGAGTCACGAAACTCGATCGCTCGCGAAATTCCTTCCATGATGAACATGCAAGCTACGACTATAAGGAGAGAGAGAGGGAGGGAGCGTAATTGGAGGAGTGGATAGATGAAATCGGGTGACAGGGAACAGGACGACGTGGAATCAAGGTGGCTCTGAGCTTATCGGGCTAAGTCGCGCGTGTTGACGGAAGTTGGCATTAAGTTGGCGCGATACCGACTCCTCTCCCGTGTAAAATCCGACTAGGGCGTCATTAAGAGGCCGCCAGCACCTGTAATGCGAGAACAAGCGGCCCGTGTCCCCTTTATTAAGACACTTTTCTACCCCTCTCGTATCCTATTAACAGGTTTTATCGCGTGGCGAACGAGGTACCGGGGGATTCATACCCGTGTCTTTTTTTTAATTTTCTTTTCGTGATTAATTCGGGAGATCGAAAGATCTTTGTATACCTTGGACAAGAGTTTTGGATTATTGGAAGAAAGAAAATATATCGATAAATTGTTTCACTTCTTGGGCGGTTATATACGATAAATACATGGTTATTTATCCGGTTAACGTACCTCTCGGATTCTCAATTCTGTGAAAATGAAAATGCAAGAAAGTTAGGACGTATTATAGATGTTGCGTGTTAGAGAAGGAGAATCCCTATTATAGTTCACTAATATTTATGGCTCTATTATACGCTGGATTTCGAGATTCAGAACCCTAGTTCGCGTTTTCCTATTCCCTTTCCTATTTAGGACTTAGGCCAACACAACAAATGCTCATCCTCGGTATAATATATCCCCGATATACAAATCTCGAATTGCTATTCCAATATCTCGAGAAGCGAAACGTTCTCGAATATTTCAAATATTCGAGATTTCGAATATTCCCCTACATCGTTTAATCAACATTTTCGAACGGAATACTCCGCTACGATACTTTCCACTAAATTATCCAGCTAACATCAGAGAATCGAAAAGGCAAAACCCCCTTCTTCTCCCTCCCCTTTAAAGGTCTACGAATAGCCGACGAAATGGCAAAAGGGCGAAACGAGATTAAGCGACCAATGGAGATGCACAGAAGTAAAGGAAAACGTCGTCCGTCTTTCGTCCGCTTCCTCCCCCTCCCTGGTTCTGCAAAGAGCAGGCAAGCGGTAATCGCGTTAAAAGATTGAAACGTCCGTCCCTCGCCCCCTCGTCCTCCATCAGAGTATTTGTCCCCGTTCATTTGTCCGCTTCAAATGATTCGGCAAGATCTCCACGATCGAGAGTGTCAGCCTCGTAATTATAGACTGTGGCCGCGAGATGGCGGTGAAAAGAAAGAAATGGCGGAGGGAAGATTCATCGTCTCGATCCTTAAGAATGTTTGCGCGATGGTGTGAAATTAGGGACGGCTCAATTGTGCAATCGCCTCGTTTGGAAACGGATTGCAGGATACATTGCGACGTTGCAAAAAGAAAAAATGGAATCTTCTCTTTCACCCAGTCTAATATTCGGGGGGGGGGGGGGGAAAAATTCTAATCTGCTACAGGGAATCTGGAGTGAATGGGGACTATTGTTGCCATTCACGTCGCGGCTTTCGAATATAATCTCTATTCTAGTGGGGATGATACGATGGTCCAGCGTTCAGATTGCTGTTCAGTTTGCTATTTTGTAGGAAGAACGATCGAGATTGGCAATGGTGAAAGCAAAGCTGGCGGAATGGAAGATCGAGAAGGCTTTAAGTCTCTGTTTCGCGGCGTTTCGCGGTGCGGGTCCCCATCGGCAGGGGCCTAAAGTTTCTCCAGCTTCCTATCAATTTTCCTGTCCATACAGATTTGCCTTCGGCAATTGGTTGTAGATAGGACTGGAGGAGTGG